AGCTATATTTGATTTTAAAAGTATAACTTCTTAATATTTTAATATAAATTAGAATCTCATAAAGACTTCAACTTGACCAGAACTATACAATAAGAAAATAAGAAAAAAATATCTGGGAAATAAGAGGGACAAGAATGGGAGAATTAGACTGACCAGTAAATTAGAGAGCCTAAGACAGCACTGTTCTCCCAAGGATGCAGCTATATGAATATATCAGCTTCATTTTGTCAAATTGCAGAAACAAAATTACTCATGTTCTGATAATATATCAGAGAGCTGATAAAGCAAACAGAAGAGCAGCCTGACAAAAAAGACAAATACATAAGCTAATTTTTACTTGCTATATTAAGATGCAACAAATCCTTGAAAGATAGAGTTCATTTCAATGGACTAATCAGTTCAGCAAGGCTAATTTATCTTAATCTTTAAAATATACTTGAAGCCAGGAGAGGTGGCACACGCCTGTAATCCCAGCACTCGGGAGGATGAGGGAGGATCATTCTATGAGTTCGAGACCAGACTGGGCTACATAGTGATTTCCAGGTCAGTCTCAACTACATAGTGAGACCTTGTCTCAAAAAACAAAAAACAAAACAAAACAAAAAAATGTACTTGAAATTAACCACCACCTGCTATTTCTACATAATAGCCACATTGATAAAGAAAGCATAATAAATATCACTTTGAAATATTAGGTACCAACACCCCCATTTTAAGAAATATTACACAGAAATACAGCATTCTAAAACAGAAAGAATGAGAGAAATACATAATAGTGAAAATAGTTATTTCAAGAATATCATGACTCTCAAAACATATATCAAAGAGATGAGAAAACTGTTACCATTTTTGGTACTGTGAATATTATTCAATCAAGTTAGAAACAAGATATTCCGACTCTTTCACACTAAATAGAAAAATAGATATGTATGCTTTCCTGTTCCCATGGAGGTAGACAAGTCAGCATCTTGTATGCAGTAATGATCTGACATCAAGGCCATGAACTCAGAGTTCATAAACAATGTTTTTTTCTAACAGCTGGCAGAAAGAATGGCTTTGTGGCAACATTTTTAAAACTAAAAATTATTTTGGTATACCCTCCAAATATTTATTTTTGTACTCAAGAACATCATTCAGCAAATTAAATAATTACCCACAGGTATAGTATACAATAATTCATTCTGAAAGACTTAATAGAAACTGTACTGCCTGCTAATAGATGTCCCACAGATTTATTAGATTTTCAAATGTATGTGAGATAATCCTTGCTTTTTAAGTTTACTAGGACAAAACCATCTTATGATAAACTGTATGCTTTTGGGTGCTTGACTGGTCAGCTCTTTTATCTACTAGGAGTACTTATAATTATTTCCTCACAAAAATCCCTGTTCTACTTCCAGATATGTCCTCAGCACCTAGTGGCAGGTTGGCCGTTAATTCAGATGAAAAATCTCCATATGCCACCTCCATTTCCATAAATAGGTATTTGCATCTGCCATCCACAAACCAAATATGCACACTAGGCATTTGCCAAAGAACATAACCTTCAACTGCCCAATGCTTTTTAAGTTTGAGCCCTCATTTCACTACACTACATGCTACCATCAATTTTTTCTTATCCCTCTTAGTCAGGATCTAGCTCTGGCTACACATTAGGATCAATGGGACTATTTGTGCAGCAGTCTCAACACAAATGCACACAAGAATGCCTGGTAAGTACAGCAGTATTCTTCTCTGGGCTCCTCTAAGCCACTTAAACTTGGGCCCCAGGACATTAGTCTTTTTCAGGATCTTCCCTAGGCAGCTCTCTTCTCATGACTATGAGAAAGAATGTTTTTCTTCCTGGTAACATTTCCAGAATTGACAAATGATTGGGGGTAAGCCTCCAAATATATATTGTGACGAAGAATGTCACTCAGGAAATTAACTAACTATCAAAAACAAAATTTTTCATTCACAAAAGTGAACTGGAAGCCAGAAGATTCTCTGAAATGACTCAAATCATTGTATAAAGTAATAAAAAAAGAATATATGATGTATAAATTGCTAGTATTAAAGTGACTTTAAATACTATTGGATTCCTGCCTTAAGTCATGAACTTGTCTCCTAGCATAATCTGTAAATCACTTTTAAATGTCTTTATCCTCTCAGGTGTAACCATTCAATAACAGGTAGGGAACAGACTCCAGGGTCATAAAACCTAAGTTTAAATCCTCACTTTTGCACTTGCTGAGTAGTCTTTCCGACTCTTACATACCTAAAAACAGAATATTACTACTATTCACAAGACGGACTAACTGGAATTATGTTTGAAGAGTAAGCATTAATAGGAACCAGCACAACAACAAAATGACAAAAAATTCAAACCAGAAATGCTAACAGAGAGCATACACCTCCAGATCATACAGCCGTGTAACAAGGTATAGAGGGCATCCTCCTAAGTCAGGCAGATATGCTCACATAAGGCCTTCAGTTTTTTCCTCAGGGGAGTACTATCATCTCATAGATTTGTTGACATCTCCATAATGACCACAACTGCAATTTCCTCGTGGTTTTCACCATTAGGATAAAAAGAAAAATAATTATCTTCTATTGCACCGGGACACTTCTGAACAGCACAGTCAGAAACTTAGGGAAATATTCTACAGAAAAAAAAGGATGACAAAGAAATACTAGCCTTAACTTTGAGTCTGTTGGTGGTGGTACTAAATGTATCCGCGCTGCCCCTGGCCTATAATCAACACTGGTTCCTGTTAGTAATAATGGAACTTAGAAACCAAAATCCTGTGTATTATCACTTCCTAGTTAAGACATGGGTTTATTGGCTCCCCACAGAACCATTAGGTTTACTTAATCTCTGTTCTATAAAATATACAAAATAGTTCCAGAAATAACATATCATTACTATTACCGATAACAAATATTTAAAATCATTTTAAATAACTCTTTTTATAAGTAAGCTTTATACTTTTGAATAGTTTACTACTTACAGAAAAGTTGCTAAGATCTTACATTTCAAGAAAGCATAAATAATATTTATAATCTTAGAATGTATCTGAAATCATGAGTATAAATCAGTAACTCTCAAACAGGGGTGATTTCGTATGTGACCCTCTCCTCCAGGAAACATCTGGCAATATCTAGAGACAGTTTTTATTATCTTGACTGGGAGATGGGACCAGAAGAAATTATAATCTAATGACTAGAGATCAGGGTTGCCCCTGATATCATGAACAGGACATCATTCCATAACAAAGAAGCACTTTGTTCAAAATATCAGTACTAAGGCTGAAAAACTCTGGAGGTTATAGAAAGGATGCAAGGGAGCGTAGACCTTTCTTAAGAGATGCAGTTGTGCAGAAAACATGCCACTCATGTATTTAATTTATAAATTGCTTTATATTTTGCCAGCTGAGAAAATAAGTTAAAATGATTTCAAGAATTACTTATAGCATGAAATGGCTTCTCTTAGATAATGAAAAATTATACTAGGAAAATAAGGTAAAATTAATATAGTAATTGTTTCAATGAAAAACTCTGATTCATAACTTCATAAAGACCATATGCAGTTTCCAAGACTCTTCTGTTAGAATACACCACACATACCCTTTTATTAAATGATTAAATATTTTATTAATACAAAAGCACATAAATAAACAGCATAGCATAACTCTTAGGTATTAAAAAACACATATACCAAGGAAACAAAAGAGGAAGTCTTGAATTTTAAGGGCAGATTTACAAAATCTCTAGGAGAAAAAAAATCACACGTATATTAGAGGTTAGAAAAGAGAGGAATTGAAATGAATAGAGACCTTAACTTCAACAAAAAAAAACTTTCAATATCCAGAATGTTTTCACTATCCTTCAATGTCTAGTATTGTGAAAGCTATACATTATTTTCAGAATTTTTAAAGCTATCTAAAGGGGTTATTCTCTGTAACCCATCTATGAACACAGTTCTCAGATCTGGGTAAGATTGTTTCATATTTCAAAAAACAGCTTTAAACCCTATCTCTTGGAATGCCACAGTGTTTCAGAAATAAGACAGCAGAAAACCTTCCACACAGAGAGGCACTGATTGGATCATTAATCTATGAAAAAGTCATGTTATTACTGCCAATGGGGTGTGACAAAAAATACAGTGAAAGATGGTGCTCAGTGCCATCCAAGAGAAAGTCAGGGTCATCAAAACATTATGATGTGTCCTTATCTACCATACAAACTGGGTCCAGCACCATGTGACTTCTGGCTTTTTACCAATGTCAAAATGACCATGAAAGGTAAAGGTTCTGAACCAGTTCAGGACACCAAGGCAGCCATGACAGCACAACTAATGACATCACAGAGGACTTGCAGAACTGCTTTGTAAAGTGACAAGAACAATGAGACAGATATGTTCAAAGAGAGGAAAAATACTTTGAGGGTGAATAACAGAGATGTATCTTTATTAAAATTTAAATAGTAATTGTAATTTTTAAAATCATACCTCATGTTCTACATGAGTCAACATTAGGAAAAAATAATTCAATATTAATGTGAGGCAGACCTAATCACAGGAAAACAGAAGAGATGAAAGAGAAAAAAAACCCTTGAGAGGTATTGTCTAATTAGGCTAATCACGGCGAACATGCAGAACAGGTAACTTCAAGGTATGAAGATGATCCCTCCAATCCATGGGAAGAAAGGTGGTGAATGAGAATTATCTTCCACCAGGAAGCCCCGGTTGCCCAGCACCATTCAGATTCAGTGTGTAGAGAAGCACACACATAAGAATGACTGAGTCAGTGAGGAGGAGCTTTGCGTAACCCTTATACACCCAAATCCTACCAAGATCCTTGCTATATTAGTCAGTTTCGCTTGTAAAGTGGGATCATGGGATATTAAAAATAATTTTATGTAATTTGTGAGTGGAAAGTTCACATACTGCTTACTGCACCACCTTACTGGATCTGCATCAAAGAAATCAACACTGCGCCGCATGGGCTGACCAAACTCACCCTTCCCAGCTCCTTGTCTTCCAGGGCCAGCACTCCCGTGCTTTCTGTGAAGAGCTTTACTTTGACCACAGGCCTAGGGTGGGTGGTGGTGAAATCTCCTTGAGTTCCCCATCTGCAATGAAGTAAAAAGATTTTTAACGAAAGCACAGCATTAATTTTTCCCAGATAGATGTGTCTCCATAAAGACACATTAAGCAAAAGTAATCTTTTGTGACTCAATGAGATTTTTATCTTTGCTTTTGTTTCTGACAGATGGCAAGGAAAATAACAATATGGCTTATAGCTTGTTATAGTTATTCAGCTGTTCAGAAATTAACATGTTTGACTATGAAACATAGAGAGCTATAAGAATTTAGGTTAAGGTAAAGCACTATAGATGTAACCATTATTTTCCTAATTCAAATACAAATTAAAACATGATTGCTATGGATATTTGGGAAAATTCCTAAGGATGTGCTTATGTAAGAGATAGTTTCTCAGAAAATTAGCCTATTTCTAGGAATTACTCCACCTCCTTTGCAAAAGTCTTCACAAAACATCTATTTTCATTGTTTTTAAGTCGGGGTAATTATCTCAGGTCTACTGTATTATATGCCTTTTTATAGCTTCTGTCAGGAAGAAAGAAAGATGCATCGTAAAAATATGACTGGATTGCAGTTCATTTCCTAATATACTCACTTAGGAATGAAATAAGTCTGTCGACATCCGGCTTTTCAAATCATCA